GACTGTAAGCTTCGACTGGCAGTTTCGTTCTCGTTGAGCCTTTTCTGAAGTTCTGTTTTGGCATCACGCTGTCTGTCTCCTCCGTTCAGAGCGTGTAGCGACTTCGATGCTGACTGGCATCTTCGTCGTCGTTCCGTCGGTATTCGTCAGCCGTTGTTGTGCTGCTACGCCCCCGGGAGGCAGAGGGCAATGAGCAGGTTCTGATCGTCGACTTGTCACAGTATGCCTCAGTTTCCCAATAGCGTGGGCGGCCCTTTAAAACCCGGGCGACGACCGAACCGGTATGATTTTTGATGGCGTCAATACCATGAGCGTCAGGTGGCTAAATTTTACAGAGACTTGCCAAAGTCTTCAAACCTCCTCCTTTCTTATCCGGACTTGGGACCGGCAACGACGGAGTTGCTATTGCTTGTTTTAAATAAAATGTATAAAGCATGTCTTTGGGGTTTTTTCTTTCGCCCAAAACCATCGAATCGGAAGATTTGAAGTTTTCTTAATGCGACGCTCAGAATCAATATGAACTTTCGGACTATACAAGAATTCTTATAACAAGTTAATTAAACATTCGCTTTTAACTTGCAGATCTCTATGTTACTGACTGTATCTAACTGTTATCGTGTTTGGCGCATTGGATCACGTTTGACAGCGAGTTTGGCAGTTCTGCGCTGTTTCGGTCAAGTGCAGGGACGGAATCCTGTAATACTGATTTTCCTATTAATAGTTTTGATAAGTGTTACTTGCTGAAGTTATGAGTTGAAGTTTCTGTTTGCAACGTTTGGCGCGCTTCGCTTTGCAACCGAGAGCGGAGTTTCACAGTGCAGTTTCCATAAATGACCTTATTGTTGATTAGTCGTATACCTAACGATATCGTTAGTTTTTGCAGATCCTGAAGTGAGCTACTTTCAGGTGAAAGCATTTTTTTTGATAATCCAATTGCGTGAGTTGAATTTTTAATACCTATTTCGTATGATATTTTATTACGTCGTTTACAAGTTTATTTCCTTCGTTTATAACCGTTGTTGCTGTATTTGTAGATCGATCTATCAGCGTTAGGCTCCGGATTGAATTGTATTATTTTAGCAATGTATCAAGCGATGGTGATATCCGCGGTTTTGTCCGCGTTTGTGTTCTTGTGCGTAATAAACAACGGACATCAAGAAAGCAGTGAAGGCAGTCTGAAGTGCTACAAGTGTGACTCTGTGTTCGACCCGCAGTGTGGAGATCCATTCGACAAAGTGATCGGTAGCGTTTTCATCGTCGATTGCGACAACGAGTCGGTAAAGCCTGTCAATGCGAAAAACAAACGCCCTGTTGGATGCCGGAAAATTGACCAGCACGTATTGGATAAGATTACCGTTGTCCGCCAGTGTGCATACACAGGTCAGAACATGACTGGTGTGAAGCGGCCCGGAAACAAGGGAATCGTGAAGTACTTGAACCAGTGTTCGACGCACGAATGCAACAAAGGCAAGCTCAGAGTCTCGTCATCGTTCGCGGCCGTCGTCGCTCCGCTCGTGTTCGCCTTCATTCTGCGTTACGGTTTTTGAACCCGATTACTGTTCAAAGGCACAGGGCATCGTGCAAAGGTGAAGGCTGTTTAGTAGGTTATTCATTGCTGTAATTTCTTTGTCTGTTGTTTGTCGCTGGTCAAAGTACTGATTCTCTCTTCTCTGGTCAGAGAAGTTTCTTATAGTAATATCTACCTGTCGAGCACGGCCGACCGGTCGCCTACGACGCACATTGGCAGTGCACACTACCATGCAGGTTCCCGAGTTTCACCAGCATGAATTCTGTATGATGCAACGGCATAATATCGAACTTTACTAGACATATTTTACAGGTTGCATAGGTACGGTTTTATGTTATTGTATTTATGCGTTCGTCGTACTTTTTGTAATATGATAATGTAAAAACTTTGTGTTCGTCGCCAAAGGTTCGTTTGCACTCGTACTTCTACGTGCAGTTGCAACTGATGTATTGAGACTGTGCTGTTCGGCAAGCGTCATGGCAGCGTGTTTTGCAGTGATGAAGCTGGAGTAACGATTATTATCGGTAATTGTATTGTAAAAGTAAACTCATTCATTCCGGTTTAGTCTGGTTCGGCTTCGTCCAAAAACAAACTCAGTTTAACAGTTTTCGGGGATTACTCAGACGCGTTCATAATCTCATAGGAGTTCCTAAAGTTCACAACAGGCTGAAGATCAGTGGAAAATACGCAGAGTTGCTTACATGACACCGATGTTTCCATGCCACTTTCCAACCATTGCGGACCACTCTCCAAAGATTTTGTGTACCGTGCGATTGAAATGTTTCTTGGTTAAACTCGTTCTGTAGCGGATCTTGTTTTTATTGCATTCACGCTTCATCCTCAGTACCTTACCGTGGTTGTTCAGATTATGGAACGTTTGAGTTAGAATCAAAAGGTCCGAGATTCGATTCTCGGCGGGTCACTAGCCTTTATTCCGTTGGAGGTTGATAATGAATACCACCCAGTAGAAAAGAAATAGGAGACTGCCACAGCCACATTATGCTGCCACAGCTGCTTTCGACTCTGCCTTTAAAATGCGGCACTCCTTGCTGATGGCATGAAAATGGAGATAAGCTTCCCACCATTAACGTCATGAAAAGAAGGGCGCCAGAAGTAGTCCCGTCATGAAAGCGTAAGGAAGACCAACGTTTCAGCAGTTACCTACGTTCTTTCTTCAGCTCTCTCGAACCCAAAGTATTTGATTTTGGGCTTAGCGGTTGAAGTCATTGGCCAAACATGCAAGCTTTTTCAAACAGTGTCAGTTGGTACGCTTCTTTTGCTTTTCATATGTACGTTGTTGCTAGTGAGGTTAAGTTATTCCGTTCAATCAAATCTTTGTTTCTCGTCCCAGAAGGCAAACACGACGTAGCGCACTATTATAGCGCCACTTTGGGATTGATATAAACAATAAATCGTAAGCATTTGATTTTGATTTGTCAGGGGCTATTTGCAGCGGTCGATACTCCTTTCGGACATGATCGGTTGTTTTTGTTGCTATGGACAACAATGCAGCATCGCTCTCACCCTAACATACAGTTATCATCTTTGCCTTGTCTGAATGTGAGACTACATTTCTTCAGGAATGACATATCACGTTCAGTTTAGGGATGTGACGACATGGTGTACATGTTGTCGCTGGATTTTCCAGGTCTTCGTCATTCAGATGACGTAATGGATGTTTTGCTCTCCATCTCTTGATTTCATCCGTCTGGCATCTTTTGAAGTGTCGACCGCGTGATGAACAGATTTCACCATCACTTTTTCTTGCCTCCACTCCTTTGATCTGGGTTTGTGCGAGATGCGTTTTTACCAAACAGATTTGCTGTAAAGGTATGAGAAGGTGTGCGAATTCGTGACTGCTGTTGCTTCGTTAGTTGACCGTTTTGGTTTCGAAGTTCATGACAGGATTCTGGCTCCTGGTACCTGTAATTTTGCCTTGTTTTCTCACATGTACCTAGCTGAAGCGAAATTCACTGGTCGGGTCGAATTTATTACTGAATGTTGGTTGAATATAACACATGCACCTAGCAATGCAAAGCAAGAAATACAAGGGAAAATGTTTTTAATATGTTGATTGAAAACTGTAGTTCAAGTGGAAAGTGAGCAATATTGGAGTCGATTACGTAGCACAGGAACAAAGGTGAAGATATTTTGCGTATCAGTGTTCTGACCAAGTGACGGATGTGTGTGGGAAAATGATGACTGAGATGAATGGATATCAGGCAGAGGTAAGGGTGGAGTCGAAACGATGTAGTCGAAGGTTACCCACCGCTCGCTCAAGAAATGACTCTTCAACTTAAGAGTCACATAGGACGAACAATGACGTATGCAGGTCTTTGATTTACGCGAAAACAATTTCAGGACTGATCTGTATAGTTTTACTCGACTACAAGAATAACCTTTGATCTGCGGTGTAAAGGAAGACATGTCAGGAATGTGATGCTACTTGTATGGTGTCTTCAGTCTCACTGAATGAGAGAAAACGCCGCTGAATAGGCGGATTGTGAATGGTTGTTGAAAGCGTAATGTCACGTGATGTTTATCTATCACAAATTCACGATCAGTTTACCAAAACTAGACGGACCATAGGTATTCATTACTTGATTCTGTTCTTCAACCAGTTTATTGCTTTGCATACATTCTGTTTATATACATTACTGTATAAGTGTCCCAATGGATGTGTTCTTTAGCTGAAGGAAATAAAGCCGGTAAACGAACTCATAAATAAACTTGCGTTTACTCTATGCTAGGCATCGCATTCGTTGCGAGCTGGCAACGAGCAAAATACGGGGTCTCACGATAAGGCTAAATGCGATGCAGTGTATACTGTTAAGCCTTTATGGTGGCTGCGAGGGCCTGTCCTGAACCCTGAAACGGGCGATTACTGAGGCATTTGTAACAACGGCTGAGAGAGTACATTAAGACAAATCCGTTTAGGGCAAGGAGAATGACACTTTGACAGCAAACTCGGATAAACGGTTTTACGACCACTGTTAGAATTGATGTCCTTGGAAATCATAGTGAAATCGATTTTCTCTACAATAAATGATGGCAGCTAGAATGCGGAAAATCGTGTGTTGGTGTAATTGCATTCGCCATAACTTTTCAGAATCGAAATCGGGTTACGGGTTACGCTTTGTCTTGACTATTACAGTAGACAGTCAGCTATGAGGCGGGTCGAGGTGAAAT